TTTTTTTATTTATTTAATTTACTCGTTTGATACGAGCACACTTCCCATCTTCCAGGCCTTTCCAGTAGCCATATTACAAACTCTTTCGCTGGCCACGATGGCCCTCCACGCTCCGAAGCCGACGAAGTTACCGTTCACAGAGTAGTAGGTCCCGACTCGTTGGCACATTTGCACGCCAACCTCCTCATCCAAGAACAAATCTTCCTCTGCTTGTTTGATAATTGGCTGGATAACGGCGCCGGTGTCTGCAAGCCCCTAAGGATTCTTTTGCTATCGTTGTTCGATCTCAATATCACCTCGGGGACGATTTCCACTAAAAAAATGTATCCCCCAGGCTGATGGCAGCCCTTTGGATGGCGCGTGCTGGTGTGTGGACTCTTGTGGTGGATCGAAACTCAGGTCTAACTAGAGCCGGACATGCAGACGGACTCGAAAGCCGAACGATCGAGATCCTGGACAGTTTTGACTTGGGCCATACCATCTGGAATGAATCAAATCATACCATTGATATCTGTCTATGGGTAATGGTGGCCCCCTTGGTTATGTTTCTCATATACGAGTTTTCTTACTTAGTGTTCAACATCAGTACCAATCCTCCGACGGGTCGCTACAACGACAAAGTATTTCTGCTAATTCCACGCCGGGGTGGTCGCGATTTCAGGAGTCGACTTTGGGCCAAGCGCGAATCGAGGCCATTTTGCAGGAGAAAATACTGGAATCTAGCCATGTCGAAGTTCGAAGGAACACCGTGCCGACCTCGCTTGATATCGACCAGAGCCTCGTGCAGCATCATGACCAACATTCCTTCCCGATTCGGGTGGGGTTGATACCTGTTCCAGGTGCAGAGGCACCTAAGGCTATACATGGGAACATGTGTGTGGAGAGCACTCGAGAGGTCATCGAGGCTAAATATCTGCTTGGTTGTGATGGTGCACACAGCTGGGTTCGTAAGCAACTGGGTTTGAAACTCGAGGGCGCCTCCCGAGATGTGGACTGGGGAGTCCTGGATGTATTCCCAGTCACGGATTTTCGTGAGTGATTCTTTTTTCTCTCGTCTGAGTACCCTTCCTCCCACCCCCTCCTTCCTTGGAATAATACCATCCAATCGACGATCTGGCAAAAATTACTACAGGTATATCTGGTATTGCTGATACTCAAGGAACTAGCGGACATTCGTCGAAGAAGTATCATTAAATCCCAGTTTGGAAACCTGATGATCATTCCACGCGAGCGGAAACTTGTTCGAATGTATGTCCAGGTATCGGCTAGTCTGACTGAAAAGTACCGAGCGAGTGATCGTGATCCGAATGTGATCATGCAAGCCGTAAGAGGGATCATGAAGCCATATCATTTTGACGCATCCCGAATTGAATGGTCGACGATATATTCTGTCAGTTAAGATTCTCCCGATGAAGAAGAAGATGAACTACCGGGCGGTTAACACAATACCGGATCGCAGGTTGGCCACAGGTACTGCGGAGAATTGTCTCGATATGACCGAATCTTCCTGGCTGGTGACGCTGTCCACACCCATTCTCCCAAAGCTGGCCAAGGAATGAATGTCAGCATGCAAGACTCATACATCCTGGGCTGGAAGTTAGCATCTGTGATTCATGGAGTGGCGCCTCCCAGCCTGCTCCAAACCTACCACCAGGAGAGACTGCTGATTGCTAAACGGATCTGTCGTGGCATGTTAGAAGCTGAGAACACCTTTGATGAAGACCACAGAAAAGCGCTCGTGGAAAAAAATACTTCAATGTCGGGCCTAGGTATTGCTTATGAGCCTAATATGGCGATGCCCAAGCCAATTGGGCTCAAGACGAATGGTGCCGTCAATGGGAATTCTTCATTGCCAATGCAGCCTGGTCGGTTTGAAACAATCAGACTGGGAGCTCGGATGCCCAGTGCATTAGTGCTCAGTCACGCAGATTCTCAGCCTTATGAGCTACAAAGGATATTCAAAAGTACAGGAGAATGGAACCTTGTCGTATTTGGTGGGAACATCGTCAAGGAAGAACAATGGCAGCGAGTCGAAAATGTCGCCGCAGCATTGTCCTCCCCGAAGTCAGTTGTTCAAAGAATCAACGCCCGAAGATATCTTAATCGCGATAAGATTATTGGGTCTCTCGTCATCTATCTGGTGCACTCAGCGTCAAGCATAGAAGTCGACATTGGAAACTTACCAGACATCTTTCGTCCACCTGATGGGGATACCGGGTTTGACTATGGCAAAGTATTTGTTGACAACAAGTCTTATCACGTTGGCGGGGGCAAAGCATATGAGGAGTATGGGATTTCGCCTTATGGCTGTCTTGTACTGTTGAGACCTGATCAGCATGTGGCTTTCAAAGGCGACTTAGAGGATATCGGTGAACTTGAAAACTTTCTAGAATCTATCCAGCTGGGGGGCATCACTTGATTATCTCTTGCTTTGCATTCTCCAAATATTCAATGTTCATACAGACGTCTTGCGGCTAGCTTTTGCCTATTTCCGTGATTGAAGGTTAAGGGATATATATTTCGCAGGCGTATCTAGATATTATCCCCCTCATATAAAGGAAGAGGATGATAGTTTTTATAATCAGATAGAACTGTCTAGGTAGGAATCGTTAGCACCAAACAGTAACATTGATGCTAACTAAACCTTGCAGGAGAAGACTAGAATTACTTTATTACTAGGATTAGGCTGGAATCCAGATAAGGTAATAATGTAACCACCGGATTCCAATAGCTGTGATATTGTAATCTGGAGTCCTTCAGTGCACTGCATCGGTGCTGGATTATAGTACAATACAGTATAATACTTCTGACGCGAGAAAACCATTTATCACACTTTTATAAGCAAAAGAATAAGCTAGTCTATATTTACCAATAACTACATAACCGGCGAATCATTCACGATACTTCTAAAGGAGAAAAAAAGGCGGGATCATCCCTCTATACAGCCCTGCTAATTTCCAACAGCTTGAGCATGTTTCACCTTCCAGTAGCAAAGCTTCAAACGCCCGGTTTCCCACATGCAGGATTGCACAATAATTGCGCGCATCTTGTAATAGCTAACCGAATTCTTAATTCAGTCTCAATGTGTCGTAGCTATAACCGAGGGAACAATTATAATAATTATTACAATGAGCGCGAGTACCATGCAGCAGACCCGGCTCTTTTGAACACGGCCGTTCTTCTTAAAAAGATTTCTGGTTTTATACTTGCTGTATGATTGCTCCAACATGCCTGCTTCAATATCTCCTGAAGCCTGGGTGCCACTGACAGCTTCCCTCTGCATCTCTTGCGCCCGTTGGTCGACCTCTAGGGTACAGTCTCGATCGCTGGTCTCGAGTGTGCAGTCGCAGCCACTGACTTGTAATCCTTCATCCTCGCGATGTCTGGGTTGCTGTGGCGCGAGTTCTTTGTATGTATCGTTATTTGTTGATGGAGGGTCACGTGTATGGGATGACATCTAGTAGAGATAAAAACAAATGGATGTTAGCCATTGTTGACAACAGGGGAAAAGTTCGAATCACTTACCGTAATTTCACATCGGAGGTTTTTGATATATGTATGGGAATAAGAAGGACATCTTGCGTCTCAGCCTCCGTCCCTACGTGATTAAGGGGCGGGGGAAGGAAATGATACGTAGTCTTCGGGAGGAAGAGGCTGAGTATTTCCTCAGATAACTTAAAAGCAATCATATTGACGGACCAATTAGTTTTACAGAACTAACTGGCTAATGGAATGTTCCGACAGTAGGCTGCCCAATGATATTAAGCTGTAGTTCAGCCAAGAGGGAGCTCCGGCGATTCTCATCTATATCCTTGTACGGAGCTGTATTTCAAAAAGTTATCTAACTACCACGAGTACTTTACTAGGTAATATTGCGTGACTATTGACCAATAGGAACCACTTATCCCCTCCAAAATGACATCTAATTGGCTCTCTATCACGTGATATTTACTAGCGTAGTCTAATAACTTTAAATACAGCTCCGTATACCTTTCGCTCTTCAGACGGGCTTTGTGGGGGCTGTCTTATACTTTAATTATGTAGAATAATACACATGCAATGATAGAGAGGTATGTCCAGAGCCACCAAAGAGCAGTCAGTTGTTTTTCTCTAGACTCATGACGAAACAAGTCCTCTACTACTCTTCAGATTCCTGAAGAGCCCCCAGCGCCAGCTTGATATACGTGGTCTACTAAATGACCTGGATGTGATGGGTTACTCATGTATTTCGCTCTTCTATGGGATGCGGTTGCCTACTTTTGTGATTGTGTTTCTTAGTGGTGGGATCTTTGGAGTTTGTGATCGTATATCAGATGCAAGGGCGGTATTCCGCCTGGGAGGATGATTTTATAGATATCAACGGGCATATTTTTATCCATTTATGGTTGGGGAGTGTGTTTCATATACATAGAGATATGACTGTCTTGGATTCATCAATGTATTGCATTTTCGAAGTAAGATGGCCATTATGAATGCTTCAATTCCTGCTAAAGAATGTCCCAAATCATAACTCGCTTGCTTTTGATTGCTATTATTCTTTCTAAATATCTAAATCAGGTCTTCCATCCCAGGGTAAGCTGGTTTTCACAAATCACATGTCACATGATATGATGCATTCTGATGTACATAGAGTCTTAGCGGACCGATCATCGTACAACTGAATAATACTAACTCAAGGTCTAAGTTGTAACAAGCTTAGATTGAGCTATATTCCTCATATCAGTGCTATCGATATTGATAGCATTATGACAGTTGATCAGGCGGGGTCTGGGATTGGAACGGGCCGACCCAATCTATCGTGCTGTACTCCGAGTACACTTCAGACATAACACGTCAATCTTTAATTGGGTGGTGCATGTGACAATATAAGGTTAGTTAGTAATTGACCAAGTGTCTGGTCTCAGTCATGAATCATTCTTTACATCATCTCCTACGAAAAAAAAAAAGAAAAAAAAAAAGAAGTTAAAGAGAAACTCTAGAAGCGAAATCCAAGAGAAGAAAATGGAAATGAAAACGAGTTATCATATGTATTTCAAGATATAAAATTCACAAAGAATTGAAAACTCCCTCATAGATCGATGTCAGCCCTGCCGCATCAATCAAGGACCGGTGAAATGAAGCTCTCCGTTCCTGTTCTCGATCTTATCGCCCAGCAACATTCCCTGGTCACCACGGTCGCCACCGTCGTTCCTGCGCATCACAGCGACCAGCTTGGGACCCCACTCGGTATCCTCCAAACGGACATTCCAGGCGCTGCTGGTGAAGTTCTTTCCGCCCCAGATGAACCATCCTGTGTATTATTTCTGTTAGTAATCCATGTACTGTATATCCAGACAACCGGGGTGGAAAGAGTATGGTGAATTACCATCAGTGTTGCCGATGTGGTCGTCCAAACGGATTGTTCGTTCAATCCAGTTGCCATGCATATCTTTGACTTCCACTCGGAACAGGGTGACGCCATTTTCCTGCTTGATGCGCCAGTTTCTAGCAGTGTGGTGGAAGGAACCCATTTTGGAGGTTTGTTTGTTTAGTAGTAGTAATAGGTATGGAGGATAGGAAGTCAAGGATGGATGAGGTTGAAGCTAGGGAAGTCAAGGTGGATGGTGTATTTATATCATAGCGTGTTCAGCTGGCCACCCACCGCATTGCTGCCCTAAGGCCCCATGTTCCCTTAATTAAGTAGCGACTAACGATGCAGGGTGACATAGCAGGTGGACCTGTCGTGGCAGCCATTGGAGAGCGAGGGGTTGCCAGGTGGGGTTTCGGAGGGGCTTAGCGAGGGGCATTTCGACTCTTCTTTATTTATAGTCATTGGTCCCATCGTTGAGTCGGTGAACCGCAGCAACACACTCAATCGAAGAGACTAATTTATGAGTAATTTCATGGCTAAGAATTATGGAGCTGTCGTGTGCTTTCCGAATTAGGGCGAAGGTAAACAATGAGCGCTTTTGGGGGGAGCTGAGGATCGACGCCGGGATCCTTGGGTCTCGGTGGGTCGCTCTCATTGATCGTGTACCACAATAGCATTTCCATTGTGGGATACACTGAACATTCTCGGTTATTCGAGAGGCAATATATATATATGTAGGATTCGTCATTGGGGAGGCAAATTGCTTGGTTTGTAGCTGCGCCTTCGTAACGCAAGACATGTAATATGCAGTAAAAACGACATGCATGCATACATACAAATGCGGTAACTCCAGTCTAGTAGTCGCAAGGTGATACACCTACCCCGCCATCTCCAGATGCCCAATTGCGAGGGAAACGTAGAGAATGTTATATATGGAATTTGTGGCGTTGTGTAAGACCCCCTGGGGCGCGTTGTTGTTGTTGTTGCCTATCTCGAGGTCTCGCCTCGATTGCACACCATCTGACACAATGCTTTGCTCGTTGTACGAGGAATTTCCCCCACTTTTCTAGATGGTTCTGGATTTCTTGTTCTTGAGCAACTTGAGTCTCGATGGTGCAATTCAGACTGTATGTCTTGCCACAAGGAACCGAAATGCTGCTGCTACTCCTAATGATGTGTTGGTGTCTACCTCGTAGTGCACCCTCTAGTAATAAGAAAACCAAACCAATAACACCCAGCGATAATAAAGTCTTGCAACCTGACAGATGCAGCTAAATTCCGTCAGGATCGAGCAATTTAGCTCATCGCAGTAGACACCCCCTAATTCATCAAACTAGATGTAGTGATATCCACGAATAGCCATAAAGCCCCTCCGTGAAAAGAAGTTAGGCACTCCTTCCATTAAAGGCGCAAGAGTGACAAGCGAGTAGAGCCCTTTCCCATGAAATGGTGGGCAAGCGCTAGATCCTCTTTTTGCACGGTGTCCCTTCCCACATGCCTTGTTAATAAGCGTCCCACTATATGAGAGTCAGTGTATCTATTCCGATGATACTCTGGGACCGACAAATACCTTACATCTGACCATTTTTAAGAGCTTCTTGGGAGCTGATTGAATGCGTGTCGATATAGGGAGTCTGATGAGGTCCCTTGACCGCTTTTGGCGACAGATACGCGCTGGTTTGTGGCTCCAATTCTTTGAGAAATATAGACGTGCCTGAAAATTGTTTATTGACGGTATTCCTTTCATTGTTGCTTTCTTCGTCCTGTTTCCTTTTTCTTTTCCGTACAGTAATGTAAGAACTTCCCTAATTGACGGTGACCAAAGCTTCGATTTCTAATTGCGCAGTAATTTTGCCATCGAAACACATGGTGGTGCGGGCTCAGGAGCTAGTCTTTCAGAGACTTTCTGGGTCTCTGGGGGTTGGATAGTGGCCGTGTGTAGATGGAACTCAGGTGCTCACACAACGGAGTTCAGAGGATAATCTAAGATTGTAAGATGATAGAACGGATGAATAAGGTGACTTTAGGGGACGTATGAGATGATGTAGATAGGTTAAGTCGTTGAAGGGATGGTGGAATATTGCTAATCAGTGTATTTGACTGACCGGCAATGACCTTGTGTAGGTATAAATGGAGTAAGGAGTGTTTTCAGTATGTATAGTTAAGGTGTTGGTCGTTTGCAAAGGCATGTGAAATGGAATCAGTGTAGATATCGGCTAGAATAGATGATATGAGTGGTTACTATGTGAAGTAGAGAGAGACGGAGAAAGAGAAATCTAAAAACTTCCATAGTCGATGTTCAGAGAAACTCTCAATGTAGTGTTAGTCCTTGTCGTCCTCAATTTGAAGAAGTGGTCATTATGTCCTAAAGCGCAGAAGGCCCGTGGGCTGACATCGTCGCCTGAAAAGTTAGTAGATGTAGACTCGACTCGCATATTTTAGATTGTATAGGAAATTTGAGTCCTCATGGATACATTATCCAATCAAATAGTTAAATATCCTACTGCTCGAATTCTTAACGGAACGTCGGTTTCAGACCCTACCAAACAGCAGTTGAATGAAGATGCCGTCTTATCTTCGGAGTATACAATGACATGTATTAGCTTGACAGTGTGGATGTAGATCACTGGACCGACCTAGTCCTTATATGGCAAGGTAAGATAAACACCTCCCCTGGAGATCAAAGCCGATCAGGTACATGTTCAGTACCCCGCACTGTCCATTCTGATAACTAAATGTTACGTTTGATTACTTCACTATCCGAGAATCGATAGGTCATTGCGGATATCATCCCCAGAACTTAAGCTTTGTGTTATATCATATTTCCACAGAGCCCTGGATCGCCATGACTGGACCTGTACCAAACAAGTCAGGCTAAAGGAAAATCTAATCATAACTTCGTAGCCAGGCCGGTTACGACAGCAGACAAAAGCCCACTTCGACCTATCACCTATGCTTGTGTCGCAGATTTGTGTTCGAGTAGGTAACAAGCCGAGGCAAAAAGGGAATCAGTGTTAGCCCCTATTCAACACAAACAAAGCCTCTTCGGGGTAAGCTAGCGGCAATTGTACGACAGAAGGAATGCATCGAATAAAGACAATACTGGACTAGTAACCAAGGCCAAATATATGTTGATTCCACAACCGTTTAAAAAGAAACATGTACATGGGTCGAATGCGTCCCAAGTTGCCGGTACGAACCCGATGGTCGAGCATGTCCCACTAGCGGAGATTATATCAAGACTAAAAGGAATAGACACGGACGTACCGACGAATGGGAGAGTGTTATTTCCCCCTACATTTCCGGGGCCGGGATAGAAAACTGCACCACGAGATCCCGTACACTGCATCTCATGGAAAGTCTAATAAATGAAGTGATGACACTACTTCATTCTCGTCGACAGGATGCAGAAACGGTTGACAGCAGCAAATCGTCTTCTTTCCAGAATCCGGGATAAGATACTTTCCGTTCACTAACGCAAAAGACTCACCGGATAGCAGCCACGGTCCAACACTGGGAATCCCCGCATAATGGCCACGTTCGGAAAAGGATGATGCCCAAGACACCGAGGCTTAGGTATATCCACCGGGAGGTCCTGTTCTCTCGTTATAACCACAGGACAAGGTCTCAACGTCGGCAGCTTCTGCCATGATGATTGGTGGTGGCCCCGACTAGCGGGATACCCTAAATATCGCTTAGAGAGGAGACCATGGTTGTGTTTTTTGTTAGTAGAAGTGTATGACAAGAATCAGGAAGGCTATTGAGAAAAATGCATGGTCTGCTAAGCGCTTTCCGGCTTAGCGGGAAACTGAAGCCAGAGAAAATTTGGGCGGCCTGGCGCATGCCAAGACCCTTGGCAGTCTGCGACATGTCAGAGCAAACATTTCGTTTCTAATTCAAATGGGAGTTGCGAAGAAGAAAGAGAGAAAGGCAGAGAGGCAAAGATCGGGAGTGGCAACTCCAATAATCCTACTCTTGATGGCCATGAGCATTCGCGAAGAGGAGTCTGGAGCTGAAAGTCTTCGGGTCCCATGACTCTTCCAAGCCCTCGGTCCATTGTCTCACAAAGTGATGGTCAACAACGGGTGGACGCCACAATCCCTCTTAGTGCGTCTTTCAACTTCGCGGCAATTCTTGGCCGGTGTTCTGCCTTGTCCACGACTTCACTGCAACCGTAGCTGCAAGTAAAGTTGTAGTGGCGTCTGGCTCACCTCATTCTCTCGGATAGGGGAGCCGAATAATCAAGCATCTCTTGGACGCTGGGGTTACATTCAGTCGGGGGCTCATTTACCTCGAGTCGGACAAGGTTTCAGTTCTTTCTTTGTTTTGTGGATGAGTTGTTTCCAGAAACATTATCAACCCTGATCCTCATATCAGGGGGCGATGTTCCTCAAAGGGAGGAGGGGGGGGGCGGGGTTGAAATGAGAAATCTTTTGCCGCCGATCCTCCACATGGATGCCGACAGGTTTCCCCCGGGACAACAATTTTACAGTAGTCGTCTAGTGCCTAAAAGACAGAAACTGCCAGATATCCACCCCCATATAACCCACGAGAGCAGTTTCCCGGAGAGCACTCTTCCTATCTTGGTTAGTGAACGGGCTTAACCCCAGGTTGTCGACACACGTGGTAGGTTGAAATTTCCGACCCCCGTCCACGGTCCGTGACTCAACCAATGGAACAGGAAGAACCAACTTCACCCAGCCAGGAACGGTCATACGGCCGGACATCTCCTTCAATGACTGGAGCCATTCAAAGCCGACTGACTTCTTCGGTAATGGGACCCGACCTTCTGTTTGGTCAGATTCAAAGTGACTCTGCCAAATCCAGCGATATAGCCGAAGATTTAACTCGGATTTTTAGTGCTGAAAGCCTGAAGTACTCGCGCGCATGAGCCGATGTCAGCTTCAGGGATCTGGACCTTGTCTTTTGTCCCGTTACTAAGATTATAGTAACCCACTCTGGGGTTGGACAACAGTCGCTAGACTGACTTCTATACCAGCGTAGCAGTAATGCAATGCACGGGCCTATAGTCCTTCCAATGTCACCTAAATCGGTCTGACCATCCCCCTGATTGGTTCTCACTGCAGTCATTTTCTTAAAGGATCTAAGATTAGCCAACCTAAATCAGGCATGGTTGTAAACACGGTATTTCCCTCTTGCCTTCTTCTAGGGTAAAACCTGGTTAGCTCCATGGCCCATGGAACATCGTGCCATCATGTCGGAAAAAGACAGAAAATTTTTTTAAAAAAAATAGAATAAAATAAAAATGCAAGTGAGGTTGAAAATTTCTGGGGGCCGAGTGACACAGGCTTTCCCCGTGGGTGAATTTCCCCGGGTCCGGCTTTATGCCGATTCTCAAGAAGGTTTTGTAACACCGCCAGAGTTATAAAAGCACATCCATTCCCCTACTTCGCTTCGGTTCATTTCTCCCGTTCGCCGTGTTCCCTTTTGGTGGTTAACTTGCCGTCTTCCATTCGCCCTCCTGTTCTATCCTGTCCATCGCTGGACAGACCATCTCTTTCTTCTTCTCCCTTTCGCACACCCATACACTTGTGAGCTCTGTGCGAGGTTGACCCAGCAGCTCTATCACCATGGGTGACGCTGTAGCTTCAAACGCCCTCGCCGATACCATGCGAGTGGAGGCACCCGTCACCTTCAAGACTTATATGATGTGTGCCTTTGCCGCCTTTGGTGGTATCTTTTTCGGTTATGATTCTGGTTATATTAACGGTGTCATGGGCATGAAATATTTCATCCAAGAATTTGAAGGCTTGGTCAGTCTCGTTTCCCCTAACAAGTAATCCTAAGCCTGGCTCGGACAAGTAGCTAATACCGGTCGAACTATAGGATCCTGCCACCACCGACCCGGATGATTTTGTTATCTCCTCGTGGAAAAAATCCTTGATCACATCCATCTTGTCGGCAGGCACATTCTTCGGTGCGCTGATTGCTGGGGATCTTGCTGACTGGTTTGGACGTCGGATCACCATCGTCTCCGGTTGTGCCATCTTCATCGTTGGTGTCGTTTTGCAGACCGCATCAACCACCGTGGCTCTTCTCGTGGTGGGACGTTTGATTGCGGGATTCGGTGTCGGTTTCGTGTCGGCCATCATTATCTTGTACATGTCAGAGATTGCTCCTCGCAAGGTCCGCGGTGCCATTGTGTCTGGATACCAGTTCTGTATCACCATTGGTCTGATGCTGGCTTCTTGTGTCGACTATGCCACCCAAAATCGCACGGACTCCGGTTCCTATCGCATTCCGATTGCCATTCAGATTGCCTGGGCTCTCATTCTCGGTGGGGGCTTGCTCCTCCTACCGGAATCGCCCCGTTATTTCGTCAGAAAGGGCCAGATTGATAAGGCTTCACATGTCCTCGCTCGTGTCCGTGGTCAGCCCGAGGATTCGGAGTATATCAAGCAGGAGCTGGCGGAGATCGTTGCCAACAATGAATACGAGATGCAAGCGATGCCCCAGGGTGGGTACTTCACAACCTGGCTGAACTGCTTCCGTGGAAGTCTCTTCCACCCCAACAGCAATCTCCGCCGTACCGTCCTGGGTACTTCTCTTCAGATGATGCAGCAGTAAGTTGATCCCATCCAACACAGTCCAGAAAGTTCTGTGGCATCTAGACTACCGCAGTACATAGCTAACATGCTCCCTTCTAGATGGACCGGTGTCAATTTCGTGTTCTACTTCGGTACCACATTCTTTACCTCCGTATGTGTCACCGAGCCACAGTAAAAGAGGCTTATATTTGCTGACTGGAGGACAGCTCAAAACGATTTCGAATCCCTTCCTGATTAGCATGATCACCACCATTGTCAATGTTTGCTCGACGCCCGTCTCGTTCTACACCATGGAGAAGATCGGACGTCGTCCCCTGCTGTTGTGGGGTGCTCTTGGCATGGTTATTTGCCAGTTCATTGTCGCCATTACCGGTACCGTCGTCGGTGACAAGGGCGGCAACAACGCTGCCGTCAGCGCGGAGATTTCTTTCATCTGCATTTACATCTTCTTCTTCGCCAGCACCTGGGGTCCTGGCGCATGGGTGGTCATCGGCGAGATCTTCCCTCTGCCCATTCGTTCGCGCGGTGTGGCTCTGTCCACTGCGTCTAACTGGCTTTGGAACTGTGTAAGTGGCACCCTCGTGTTTGTGTGTAGCGTAAAAGGTGGTTTCACTAACGATTGGGATAGATCATCGCTGTCATCACTCCGTACATGGTTGACCAAGACAAGGGCGACCTCAAGTCCAAGGTGTTCTTCATCTGGGGTGCCCTCTGCACCTGCGCCTTCATCTACACCTACTTCCTCATCCCGGAAACCAAGGGGCTCACCCTCGAGCAGGTCGACAAGATGATGGAGGAGACCACCCCGCGGACCTCTGCCAAATGGAAGCCTCACACCACCTTCGCGGCCGACATGGGATTCACCGAGAAGGACATCACTGACAAAGTCCACGTCGCCCATCGGGAAGTCTAATCCACTCCTATGGGGGTCGGTGGGGGGTCCGTTTTGGTTTCGGGGGGGTGGTTCTGCACATTACTTTTCTCTCTTTCTTTCTTTTTTTTTTTTTTTTTTAATTCACTGGTTATCAGCTATGAACTCATACCCATGATTTACGCGTCATGTCGTTTTAATGTCCTGGCAGAACTGAGATGATGACCGAGAGGTGTACCATTAATCAATACTCACCTTCTTCAACTATAGTGCATGCTTTTAATCCATTGTAGGTTGTTGAACGACAACATTAAACTCTTGAGAATGTAGGGTAATTCGGCTTTCTTCCGTGGAGATTCCGTGGGCCACGCTAAGGCTACTAGTAGTTACTGTATGAAGCATGGAGTTGGTAGACCGCAGGGGTAACTCAACACCGGCAAATCTTGATGAACTTGGTGGGTTTCCCGACGCAGGGGCACCAATACATTCCGATACCGTATTTGTGACCGGAACCGTTGATTCTTAGAGGATATGTGCATCCTAGCAATACAGTTTCAATCAAATCTTCGGTACCTCGGGGAGGAAAAAGTCTCTGTAATATCCGTTGCCATCAGGAATGGGGAGATTCTGTCTATGAGGCTGAGTACTCCGAGTATATGTACCTCTATAAAGTGCCTCGGTATCGAGCCTTTCGACTAAATTGTATGCATTCTTGTGATTTTCATGGGCTTCTACTTGTTTTCTGTACCTCCCGTTGGATACCCACAGATGTCCAGATACAATAACTGAAATGCATCTGCCTATTTTCAAGGTAGAAGACTCTGGAGTCGGAATATCCGTAAGTGATCCATCTAGATTAAAGAAGAAACAGTCCACGAATCAATATCCTGCCAAGATATCTAGGACTTGCCAAGCGATCGATCGACAAGAATCTGGAGGGCAGAGTTTTCCGTCTTTGAGCTCCGCTTAGTCATCCTGCCCTAGGGTTGGCTTTGAGTCTTGTGATTTGCCATTACACTTCCTTTTTCCTTGGGTCACATTCCTGTTTCAGTAATCGAGCCAATGCTTAATTGGCATTTTCAAAGCCAAATCAAACTGTTTAAAGCAAAATGCGCAGCATAATTTCCTGAGAAGGATCGACATACGCGTCGGCAGTCGAAAGGTACCAATTACCGCTTCCGCTGTTCGGCAGAGCTCCGCTGTGCCAAGACATCTTGTGCCTGATGCTAAACATACACGCAAACTGACCAGAGTCAGACTCCTCTGTGGCACAGCAAGTTAGAATACGCAATACTTAGGAAAATAAAAGGATCGACAGGCTTCGCGACCATGCCCGAGGTATACCCACCAATCACCCTAGGGCCATTAATCACTCCGGCTGTGCCAAGCCACCGGTTGTTTGTGTCGAGTGAGCTTGATCCACGGACATTGTAGCATGCACGATGCATAACATTGGGATTACGCCACGGCAGAGTCCTTCTTGTGCCTTGTAACTACTCTATTCTTCCCCACTTGCCACGTCCGTGCTCGTTTTAGTCGAGTTATCTATTGTTGCTGAACAGTGGGCGAGGGCGTTGCCTCGTCAGCAAACGTCGATCATGCCCCATTTCTGTCTGGACTGAAGATGCCCTAAAACAAACTATGTCGGTTCGACGGTACTCTATTGCATTCAACCGGTGCTAGCACGGTATTTTCGGGATGCTCTCCTGCCTGGGTTGGGGTTGCTGAACAATGCTCCCCGCCCCATTCGACGGTCTAGACAGGGTGCACTATAGGACTTGCGTCAGCTAGAAGCCGCGGTACTCCCTGTGTTTGATATGAATTTCCATCAAGATCACTGGGGTATAAAGCTGGCATTGCGCTCGAGAGTGTCTGGAGGATCATCAAGACAATTCTCTTATCTCATTCTCTCCACCACTACTTGTGTATTAGTACCAACCTTTAATCATGGTTCAACTCGCTTCCACCCTCGTCGCTGGCCTGGCAGGTCTTGCCAGCGTCGTCTCTGCGCATCCGGGCCACGACGTCAAGGCCGAGGCCGCCGAGCGTGCCGCTTTCCTGAAGAACGCTCCTCTCCGCTCTCGCAGCCTGGACCAGTGCGCTACCAAGCTGCGTGCTCGCGGCCAAGAGCAGCGCAACATCGCCCGTCGTGAGCAGGCCGTCAAGAACCTGCGCCGCAGCATGGGCCTGCAGTCCCGTATGCCTTGCCCCCTTCCTTGCAACCTTCATGCATCAACACCGCATACTGACTGTTCCGGACCAGGCTCCCACTTCCTCAAGGCCAGAGACCTTGATACCGCCCTCAACACCACTCACCACTCCACCCAGGATGTTGATCTCTCTACCGACCCCAACGTCCTCTTCGCCGACGAGGCCACCTGCATCCTCGCCCCGGACGTCACCCAGGGACCCTACTGTACGTTGCCATCCACATCCTCAATCAACCCTATCTAACATAAGCAGACGTCTCTGGCGAGCTGATCCGTAACAACATCGTCGAGGACCAGGAGGGTGTCCCCCTCTACCTGGACATCCAGTTGATTGACACCAACACCTGCGAGCCCGTTCCCCAGGTCTACCTGGATTTCTGGCACTGCAACGCCACCGTAAGCGCTTTCTAGCTACCACTACTCCAAGAAACCCCCCCCCAAACACTAACAAAAGAAAAACAAAGGGTGTCTACTCGGGCGTCGTCGCCAGCGGAAACGGCGACAGCGATGACGAGAGCAATATCGACTCGACCTTCCTCCGTGGTCTCCAAAAGACCAATAACGACGGTATCGTCCAATTCCAGACTATCTTCCCCGGTCATTATACCGGCCGTGCTACCCACATCCACGGTACGTCTGTTCCTTACTTTCTTACTCGCCTCGCCTCTTCCTACCCTCATTTCCCCACTTCTTATTATTATATAAATAAGATTACTGATTAAAAGGTGGGAAATAAAATAGTGCTCACCCACCCGGCCAACGAAACCTCCGTTCTGCCCAACGGAACCATCACCGGCCTGTACAACACCAAGACCTCCCACGTAGGCCAAATCTTCTTCGACCAGGATCTCATCTCCGTCGTCGAAGAGACAAGCCCTTACTCCACCAACACCCAGGAACTGACCACCAACGCTGAGGACTCCATCCTCGCCGAGGAAGCCGACACCATCGACCCCTTCGTCGAGTACGTTCTCCTCGGTGACGATGTCTCTGAGGGTGTCTTCGGTTGGATCTCTGTTGGTATCGATGCCACTCAGGATACCTCTGTTACCGCTGCTGCGTACCTTACCGAGGATGGTGGTGTCGAGAACGAGAACTCCGGTATGGGTATGGGTGGTGGTGGTGGTCCTCCCAGTGGTTCTGGAGTTCCTTCTGGAGTTCCTTCTGGTGCTGCCCCTTCCGCTAGTGCCTCTGCTTAAGAATTAGAGGGGGGGTTTGTAGGATACCGGTGATTGGGTCTTTTTTGGTTCCAATCGCTGTGAACTTTTTTTCCTCTTCTCTTTCTATATTCTGGACCATGATATTTGGTATTCGCTTCTCAGTAGTATATTCTTTTTGAATCAATCAATATGATATTTCTCGTCAATACGGTTGCTTCCTGCCTTTCTAGTATCGATTATGCTATTTTCATACAGGCTGATTTGATAGAAACTACAGAAGAAATACTAATTCCCTTCCTTAATTTGCCATTTGTTTTTGCGCTGCGCCGGGCTTGTATTGAAGTGGACTTGGAAAGATCAAGTCACATGGGGGGACCAGGTGGTCTGGTCCAACCAAGCAAGCCGATAATATCTAGGTAGAACGATGGGGTGTTTCCAGATGGGTATGAGATAATGATACAAATGTCCACAGAGATAAGCAAAGAATTTCAAATAATAATAGCTTGGCTACATTTTATTTGCAGTATGGCAGGTAATATAGCAAAGTACCTCAAGTACGTACACACATTATGCATTACTTATCCACATACTTAAGATATTATTAACCCGCAGCATAGGTACTCATCTTCCTCATCGTCTCTCCATATTTCCACAAGAAAATCGGTGCTGGGATACCAATGGCGATCGAGATGAAAGCCAACAAACTATTCCCCCACCCATAATGCAACGCCTGGTACATGTACGGCGCGAAAAGTGGAAAGCCAAATCCTGCAATGGAACGTAAGAATGAACCAGCGGCCATCGCACTAGCCGCGAACCGCGTGTAGGCATCGACAATGTAGGTCTGGATGCACTGCATGGCGACTATGTTGCCCATAGCCAGGAGCATGGCACCGATGTTCGGGGCAATCCAGTGACAGTGGGTTTGCGCGGTCCAGCCGTAGATGAAAAGGCCAACTGGGTTGAGGATGGCGGCAATAGATAGTAGCGGGGTGCGGAATTCCGGCTTTCCTGTGCCGCTGTTGCGGGCTTTGAGACGACGATAGACGAGGTCATTGAGCCGTGCGCAGATCTGGGAGCCCAGGCAGTACCCTATTCCAAGGGAAATATAGTTTAGACCGCCAATGCCTGTGGACTCATTATAGTATTCCGGGCTGGTCCATAAGGCCGGAAATGTCGATGACATCAAATATAAGATACCGTATACGTAGGCCATGTATATCGCGAGGGCTTGGACGATGGGCTGTGTTGCGAGAAGGCGGAACGGGCGAACAAGCGCTGTGCTTAGAACCTCAGGTAAAGTCTTGTTCTGTCGCTCGGCTTCGGTCGCGTAGGAGGTGTCTCCTGTGTCTTTGCGGAGCTTTTTCGCTCGTGTCCTGAGGATCTTTGGGGCATATGTCTCGCGCAAGAAGAAAAGACCCATGAGTTGGATGACCCCATCAGCGATGGACGTGGCGTAGAATACCCATCTCCATGTCGTCCTTTCCGCGATGAAGCCACCGGCAATTGGGCCAACAGCCGGGCCAAGGAGAGGTGCTAAGCTATAGATAGCAATGCTTTTACCACGTTCCTCCGGTAGAAAGCAGTCAGAGAGCACACCACCACCTATCTAAACGCTGTTAGATTGTGAATTCATGTATACCCATGATCTGAAGCACTCACCGCTAAAGGGGCACTGCCACCTAGACCAGCCAGAAACCGAAAGACGATCATTTGCGCCGAAGTTCGTGATACGCCACAGGCGATGTTGAATATCAAGAAAAACAAATTCGCGAGCTGCAAGACAATGACTCTACCGTAGATCTCGGATAGGGGCCCAAGGAATAGCGGGCCAAATGCATAAGCCAGGACGAAAATGGACAGCATGAGTTGGGAAGTCACTTCATCTTCAATATGGAAGTCGGATTTCATGGTTTGTAATGCGGGTGCAACCATAGATGACATCACTGGGGAGATGAATGTAAAACAGGACACAATCAAAACAGCTCCCCATTTCTTCTTTGTTGGCCAATTCTTAGGGTTGTCAGGGTCATCAGGACCAGTCCATGTAACCTACATTATCAGTAACTGGCTATGATAATCGGATGAGCTCACAGAGACTCACTAGTTTGGAGTCCTGCTGTGGACTGTTTGACTTCTCTGGGCTAGATGTAGGCTGAGCACCCTTTTCCAAGTCAATCCCCCGCTCTTTTGGATCTCGAAGCTGTGAGAGACCAAGCTCGATTCCATTCTTTTCACCTTGGGCTGTCACGTGCTCGAGAACCGCTGCACCATGTTCAGTTACATTACTACTGTGCAGTACGGATTGATCGTCAGAATTTTGCCCGGTGCCAGTTCCACCGATATGCGAAACGTTCTGTATAGCTCTTGAGCTCGATCTCCCTGTCGAGCGTGCAGTACCTGGACGGCGCGGTTCAATATTCGACAGATGCGACTCAGAGTTGAGAGTAGAGGACGACAAAGACCGTGATCTGGTAGGTCCAGTACCTAATGTCTCATGACTACCAGCCATAGCCAGTAATGTATCCAGGAAAGCCAACGAGAAGTTTCTGATTCACGAGAAACCAAACCGAAAGGAATGAAACAAGAGACGGGAACCACACGATATATCATTTTGACCGTGACAGCCAACCACCAATAGGAGCATCCAACGAAGCGTTGTACAGCATAACCCTAGGATAAACCATCATAGTGACGGATTTTACAGCGCTAAACACCGACAGTGGAGCGTCGTCGTTAGATTTTGCAATTCTGAGAGCCATGATTGGGCTAGGAGGAAAGCTTGACATTGATTATTTATGGAATGCGACTGAACGGCACCCCGACTCCCGACGATAATTGTGGAGCAGCGCGGCTTGGCCCGTCCATTGCAATTGAGGAGAGTCTAAGTTATCCAACTTCTTTTATCTAGAATCGGATCTTCGGCATCTTGATAGCACGTGACGCTTTACTGTCTCAAAGTGGCCGGCGTTGAGCCAATCATTTTTACTCCGAATCCCGACTCCCGACAATTAAGGAAGCCCTAGTTTCAACAAGTGTTGAACAGAATGGGTTCCATTTTGGAATCCGGTCATGTCGGAGAGGTAAGCGAATCAGCTCATTATCATCATCTGCAAGATTCGTGGGTCTGGTGACGATCTCCGTGACTCATCTAGCATTGGACACGGCAATCTAGAAGGCCCAGAGCACGGTCTCCGTGAACTGACCGCTGTTAGTTGACGGTTGGACGATACCCTGTTCCATAAAAGTCCAGTTAAGGTGAGGGTGCGGGTCTGCCTCAGGGTGAGCTGTCATGCAGGTTTCAAGTTCTCTTTATAGATCTTGTTGGTTATTAGTCACCGCCACGTAGACATACTAATCAAACACATGAGAGGTAGAGAAGGTAGCTAGGTACTAGCGGTGGACTGTTGTGCCCTCGTCTAAATTGTCTCGATTCTAGTCATAATGGTAAACTTTGTAGTATATCACACTTTATATCTAAACCTTTCTCAAGCATCCTGCTAAGTATCTCTCAATCCGGTTAACATCGTTTAACGCTGCAATCGTTCCAACATATCCATCAGGCCGAATCACGGCCAAGGCTCCCTGGGCTGGGTCCACGCCATAGACTTTATAAACATCATCAATTTCATAGCCGCTGTGAAACCGCATTTCGGAGTGTTTCTTAAGCTCCTGAGGCACATCGCGCCATGTGAACGCCTTGTCAAGACGAGGGTGAATAACCACCTGCTCAAGTGTCGAGGCTGGGAAATGTGGGAGAACAGAGCTTCCAAGGGTAGTCAATGCCTTAGCAGAGGTTCCCTGGGGATCTAGCAAGTCTAATGAGGTAAGGCAAAGAATACGAAATCGTCCGGTTGAGAGGAAATCTGCAGCGCATGGTTAGACTTCTGAATCGTAATTGGTGTATGGCTAAGCAAGCCCGAATTTGAACTTTTGTAAGCGGTCAACGTACCATCTTGCAGATGACGCCGGTTCCCATCGGCATGTCTTTTAAGCCGTACATCCAATAATCTCCTTCCCGGGCGTAGAATCCCGGAGAGGTAGTCTGTGCCAATGACTGGACTCTTGATATCTTGTCCTAGTTTCTTCTCCACGGTCAAGTTTTCTGGGTATTCAATGCCACAGCCACTGGTAAAGCCATTTCCAGTGCTGAAGACCTCAAGGAATTGGTCGTGGGTTAGACCTTCCATACCGTCCTCTCCAGACCCTATCTTGCCTGAGAACATGGACGAAAACGCACGGTCGAATTCAATGAGTTCCTGCGCGATCGTGTGGCGTTCTACATGATACGTGTCCAAGACTGAATCAGGCTTCCCGGATAATGCAGAATCTGGGGTGAGGCCATTGATGGAATAGGCTAGTTTCCACGCCAGATTGTATGAGTCCATCATGGAAACGTTCATTCCTTGTCCGGCCTGTGTGAAAGCAAATTAGTAATGGAGATAGAGAAAGCGTATTGTCACGTACCTTAGGGCTGTGAGTATGGCACGCTATCAATTGGAAAAAGAATATGTCAGCCAGGTGGACTTCAAAGCTTATCGGTATTCTTGCGCCCTACCATCTCCTACAATGAACACCCGGTTAACTCCTTTGCAATCCTTGACCGTAAAGTTATCCGATACTCGCTGGCCGATCTGGTATGCGGCCCACCAGTCCACGGCCCCATTCTCTTTCGGTCGAATATAATATGGCTTGAACGCATCCTCTGCGTATTGGAAAATGCTTTCCAAGGTAACTTTACTTCTCCGAGCCCGAGCATCAGCCTTTGGAGTGGTAGTCCCATTGACGGGAAACTCTTCCGCGTCCGACACAGCTTCCTCCGGCACCTGGACATAAAGACGAGTCAAATAGTCACCAGTAGCAATGCGCTCACGCGGGATGACCATCACCGAACCCACTGGTGAATGAATGGCACACCGTCTCCTGATGTCCGGAAAATCCGTATCCACGACCAGATCAACCACACCCCAGATATGGTCCAAAGACTCGCCCACTAGCTGCAGTCCCATGCAACGGCGGACCATCGAATGCGCCCCATCGGCACCAACCAGGTGCTTCGCGCGCACGGCTCTGCGCTGTCCATCCGTTTCTAGGTCAGCAACAACAGGGAATTCAGGATCTCCAGCTTCATCGATCCTGGCATCAAGAAGTTTAGTATTACGCTGGACACCACGCTTCGAATATCGCAGCAAATCCGTCTCTAGAATCCGTTCAATTCGACCTTGGTGAATAGTCACTTCATGCTGGTACCGCGCCGGAACAGCGACATCTGGAACTATCGATGTTCTTTCGATTATCTCGTCCTTGTTCGCAGAAGGGTTCCAGAATGCCACCTCTTCCATGTGGCATCCGTCGTTAAGGATCTCGTCTGCGACTCCGAGGGACTTCAACACTTCCAGCGTGCGAGGTTGTAGACCATCGGCTTGGCCTGATTTGAGAGTTCCGGGCTTGGCATCAACACAGAGCAACGAGTCGTCGCTGAGCCCGTATCGTGCCAGGAGCAGGTTTAGCATGAGTCCCGCTGGACCAGCGCCAACAATGACCACTTCATATTTTTCTGTTTGGTCGTCACCAGTGAATGGTGACGAGAGGCGGGGCAATGGAGGGGCAAACGAGGGGAGCACACGCAGTTCCCGCGACGCCGCAGAGTATTCGGTGAATACAGGCATGGGAGAGGATCAATTGGGATGTTCGAATTGTGATCGGTCAAGGGATTAATGGATGTATGAGAGCGAGCGCAGAGAGTCGAAACTTATCCATTTATCTCAAGCTGGAATGGTGGTAGAAATATAGCGATTAAAGGTCTCGAGATACCCCAAATGGGAAGCCTTCTCCTATGCCCGCTCGTGAGTGGGGCTTCAGATTGTGTGGGATGCGTTGCTCTCGATTATTGAGAAGGGCAGTCAACCCCAGCCTCGTGATTGGCTTGGGCCCCAGACTATCCCCAGTTTTCGGCGGGGACGTTGCTGCTGACTGTTGATTACTTGAACATCACCAATTCCTCTGATCGTCATTTCATACATAGTCAAGCATTTATGTGGCATAATGAAAACCAGCGGTTCGACTATGGCGCCGTTGCCTTGCAGATAAAAGCAAGAGACAAAAAGAAAGGATGCGTGGTTTGTACATTAGTGCATACCAGGCAAGGTACTAGGAGGAGGTTAGTAGACACACGATGACAATATAATACGGTAAGTTATCATGACAGTACAATACTTAGAAATGCCGTGTCGAAATGCTACCAGGGTTACCTGCCGGGGTTTCTCCGATGCCAATAAAAGTTTAAAACTTCTAACGAGATTGGACAGGGATATCTTCTCCAATGAGAGAACATGTCCATACGCGCCGTAATTCCGCCCTTCTTCAATGGATGGAGTCTAGATCTACAGACATTCCTCTTTCCTAACCGCATGCAGTTTACTTCCGTTCAGTGCCGTACGGATTTACGGATTAATGCAAGTACATACAATGTGCAATCCCAACAATAGCATCATCATCATTGCACTGTTCAAACGAAGTGACCCATGATTCGATCCACCAACTGCACCGGCTCATTCGGTTCAATGGCATACGACCATAACGCCATCCCGGGGAGGAGAGCGCATCAAATTTCCACCCCCGCAATTTATCTTAGCCACGGGGGATTCCCGAGACCTGGGGTGGATGGAGTATCCACAGGTTTTCTTTTACTGTACCTCGGGTTGCGGGGATAGAACAGAATTTTATTTGCTGTGAGAACTTATTGCGCAAAGATAATTGTATTGATTTTGTGCAATACCAATTTTTTGTTGTTCACACTCTAACTCGGGATTGGTCACATATGAAACGGCCTACAAGATGTGATGAGCTGGCAGTACCTATAACAAACCGTGTTAAGGGCTACTAGAAATCAAGATCGAAGAACTACTTGCGATGGAAAGTTCGCTACGATCATGCAGCGTTCCTTGTTTCTAAGTGCTCACGCCGTAGTCTTAGTTTGGTAAAGCAATGTTCCTTATCTACCTATTTGACTGGTCAGCTGCTGTCAACACGTATATGGCAGAAAGAATACACTTGTGGCTCAATTGAACAAGCAGCATTAAATGAACCGAACCACACTAGTAGCCGAGGCTACTGTACGACGTTTTCCTTACAAGGTTCACTGTAGGAATTTTCGTTAAGTATCTCGGAAAATGAACCCTTACGTTCAGTCGCCATTTGTTATTCTCCCCGAACACAGGCCTGCTCGGGGGGGAATTGGGGACACGGGGAGGAGATCGGCAATCGAGCTCCATTTGTGGGGATATTTCAGGCAGTTGGTAGGCGTATGAGAGGTATTTGGGTTCTCCGAATGGCTATAAGTAAGGCTGCTCTGCTGCTGACCTGAATGGTCTATAAAAGCCGGTCACAAGGCACATACGGCATTCCTGACCTGCGCTTTAAATAAGTGTTCGCAACGCTAGAAGCCAGTCTCGAGCCTTCATACACTCTTCTTTTGCACTGCCAGATTTGACATATAGCCCTTAGTCGTTTTTACTGTCTTCACTAAGCCCTTAAGCGGGAACCTCAACTATGTTACGTCTGCTGGCTCAAGCTGCTGGTGTTGAGACTACTCAGAAAAAGTCGGGATCAGCTAGAAAATGCTTTGTTGAACCACGCTCGGTTGACGAAAGTCGTGCTCTAAGGGTCGTCATCATAGGATCAGGTATTTCTGGGATCATCTCTTCCATCCGATTCAGACAACGAATTCCCAATGTGGACATTTGTGTCTATGAGAAGAATTCAGACATCGGAGGGACCTGGTATGAAAACAGATACCCGGGCTGTGCATGTGGTGCGTCTAACCTCCCTGTCCGGCCCTATGTTGTGTTATAGATTGTCCATGTCTAAGAAAGGTTGTTTGAGCAGATATCCCCGCCCACACCTACCAAGCTACATTTGAACCAAATAAGGAGTGGTCAACCTTCTATGCCTCAGCCCCTGAGATCCATCAATACTGGAAACGGGTGGCACACAAATATAATTGCATGAAGTATGTCAAGCTCAAACACGAAGTCAGCGAGGCGGTGTGGAATGAGCAAAAAAGCAAGTGGCAGTTGCAGGTAAATATGAATCATCGCCTTCTCCTTATTCCCAAATGACGGTGCCTTACTCACTCTTATAAGATTCGAGACATCGACGGCGATTCAACATTTTCAGACCAGTGCGATGTACTTATCTCCGCCACTGGGGCTCTAAACAATTGGAAATGGCCCAACATCCCTGGTCTCCATGATTTCAAAGGAAAGCTTTTGCACAGTGCTTCTTGGGACCAGAGCTATGATTATACCGTAAGATAAATTTCGGTCGAAGTCTGCATCGAACCATGGCTAACAAGCTCATATACAGGGTAAGAAAGTCGCGGTGATCGGGAACGGTTCCAGTGGGATCCAGATTGTCCCTGCAATGTTACCAAAAGTCGCACGTCTTGACCATTATGTAAGAGGCCGGACATGGATCGCGCCCACATTCGCTCGTGATGAGATCGATAAACGGGACGTTGAGATAGAGAATTGCACGTACTTCCTTCCCGCTAGTCTTGTAGCGTGCTAACTATTTCTGGTAGTCTCGTTCACTCCGGAGGAAATCGAAACATTCAAGAAGGATAATCAAGCATACCAACGATTTCGCAAAGGTAAGATAACAGCATGTCATATCCGCCGAGAACTCCTTTTTGTAACCTGATACTCAGAGATTGAACTCGAACTGCAATCCGTCCATGGTACCACTATTATAGGTACACCGGAACAGGTCGGAGCCAGGGAAGTGTTCCTGGAGAATATGAAGCGGCGACTATCGAGAAAACCGGAACTTTTAAGTGGTTTGGTGCCGTCTTTCCCGCCTGCCTGCCGCCGCTTGACACCCGGACCTGGCTACCTCGAAGCCTTGACGGATGATAATGTGAGCATCATCAGCAGCACTATCGTTCAAGTGGATGCCGATGGGATCATCACAGCCGATGGAACACATCATCCCGCTGATGTTATTGTTTGTGCCACTGGGTTCGACACTACATTTTCACCGCGATTCCCGATAATCGGACGTGAAGGCATATCCCTGGCAGACCGCTGGCAGAAGACTCCAGAGAATTATCTCTCGATGATGGTTGATGGGTTCCCCAACTACTTCATTAGCCTAGGGCCCAATTCAGCACTCGGGGAAGGCAACCTCTTGCTCCTCATCGAGAAGGCAATAGATTATTTCACATTTTGTGTCCAGAAGATGCAACGAGACAATATACGAGCAATAGCGATAAAGAAAGAGGCTGTTGATAGGTTCACACAATATTGCGATCAATACTTCGCCCAAACAGTTTTCGGACAGAAGTGTCGCAGCTGGTACAAAGGGGGAGCCGAGGATGGTAGGGTGGTAGCTCTGTGGCCTGGTTAGTATACCTTGCTATCCATGAGATGCTTCTGAAAAAAAAAAAAAAAAAAAAACCACCCTTTCAATGTATTGGTTCAACTACTAACCAGGTATTAGGGTCTTCTCTTCATTCGCTGAAAGTATTCGCACAGCCTCGGTGGGAAGATTTCGCGTATGAGTATGTCAACGAAAACCCCAACGGATGGCTTGGGGATGGATGGACGGAAAATGAAAAGAACAAAACAATCCACGTCAACTACTTAGATGACGATCAAATTGATTTCCCAACACAATTATTGAATGCTGCCACTGTGGAAGTGGGGGCGTGATGGACGCATGTCAACGACGCCGATCGGTGACGAAGGATGCAGCCCCTCTTCAGATGCCGATCCTGATATGATTATCTGGGGCTTTGAATATGATGATGTCTTTTTGTAGTGCAATAGATTCCGCGCATTAAAGCCTGTTGTTCTTGTTTTGCTGCTCTTCAGGGGCTATCGAAGTGGTCGTAGCCTGTAGGCTTTGTTTCATACCTAGTGTCTAGAACTCAATAGTCTGTCCCGTGGCCAGCTACCATCAGCCCATCACACTATAGTATAGACTTGATATAGATAGCTAAGTATGGTAGGTGCCATAATGGACTCGGTATAGGTACCCAGAGAAGGTATAAACCGGATACCCTTGGCGAAGATCATTGTGGATCCCTTTCTTAGAAAGCCGGCAGTGGATTGACGAAACGCTTCCCGTTCACGGCTTTTCAGGAGCCGTTGGTAAGGTATTGAAAATTCAAGCGCTAATGATAACGACAATACCGAAGTGGACCAATGGGATGGCAAATCTGACTAGAACAGGAAACGGTTATATTACGTAGTGGAACAGGCGCAGCGTCTGTTTCAGGTAAGTCATGGTAAGAATTCAATAAAATAAGAATCTCATCATTTTCCCATGCTTTAGAAATCCTAGTCAGTTCTGATAATGGATTTCTTGAGACCATGGTTCCCTCAACAGCTAACCTTTTGGATCGTCTTTCTGCTCCCCGTCATTCAGTGAAATCATCTCATTGCCTCCATTTGAATTAATTCCCCACTGAATTTCCACTTCATCAGCCCCCCCCCCAAAAGGTTCCATCGCATTTCTCTGTCCTCTATCACCACCCCCTCTCCATTTTACCCCAGGATTTCTTCTCCCCGATGCACGCCAAATTCTCGCCATGAAATCCTCTGCAAACAAGCACTTCTGCTGTACCATCTGTCAGCGAGGTTTCACCCGCATTGACCATCTTAAGCGCCACCATCTGCGCCGTATGTTCTTCTTTGCGCCTTTGTCTTGCCCCCGGTCTCGGCGACGCTGTGGCCGCCAATGGAAACCTCCCCGATCACAACTAACTGGTGAATTAATTGACTTGCAGATTCCGGAGTAAAGCCATACTCATGCGTTTTCTGCAATGAATCATTCGCTCGATGGTTTGTAATTACTCTCTTATCTGCCTGCCTTTTTTTTAATTTTTTTTCCTTTTCTTTCCTTTTCTTTCCTTTTCTTTTCACTGTTGTTATTCCCTCTAGAGCGGATCCCCTTTTAACTACCAGTCGGTCGCAACAATCAATTGATGATACTCTCATATAGTGATAATCTACGGGACCACTACGCGGACTGCGCCCAACGAGGAGACCGAAAGATTCCCGAAACTGGACAAAGAGGCAGAAGGCGTCATGCGTGCCAATCAGCAAGTCCATCCGAATTGAAGCCACTAGACCTAGTTCCTAACAACCTGTCGCAAATAGTGTACGGCGATGAAACTGCGATGCGATGGCTTACGGCCTTGCAGTTCTTGTCAGAAAAGAAACCTCCATTGCAATAACGAGCGCAATCAAGCGAAAGATCATGAGTTGGGAGGTATAAGCAACACTTACGCACCTCGCTGTTTTCCGGACTGCCTGCTCATTGCTGTATAGGCTCGGCATCTTCCAAGAATGACGACCAAGAACCATCGTCAGATCGGGGATCAATCAAATTCCTCCTCAATGGAGGCACAGATACTTTCACAGAACACTGGAACCTTCCTCCCAGCAATGACCGACCCCGTACGCTCAGCGATTATCAGAACCCAAAGAGTTTTGAGGAAGCCGACAGCTCCATCCTAGAATACACGACAAAGGAGAATTACCTGGAATACGCACCAACATACGTTGAGCCAGACCCGTCGGCTCTTTCTTTCTTCCACGATACATTTCTCGACTTTTTTAATGGCCCGTTTGGAGATCCCCATAGGTCGTCAAATGATCCGTATACCAGCGGGATGGCGTATCAGTCCATAACACCCTCCACGCAAGGTTCAGATCTTAGATTCACTGGGCAGCAACCCGCTTACGAACATGAATATCCGTTTGCAAATGCCATGATACAGGCGATTTTGACGAAAGTTTGGTCCCTTCGTCTCGATGCTAAGACGCAGGAAGAGATTTCGGAAAAGCTAACCTTCCTACTGACACCTACTCGCATGCGGAAGTATATGGCATTGTACTTCAAGTACTGGCAGCCCAATTGCCCAATGATTCATGTTCCAACGTTTGACCCGAGGACCGTATCGCTGTCGCTTCTCACGTCAGTTTGCTTCATGGGTGCCAAGTATACTGAGGATAAGAGAGAGCTAGACGCCGCACAGCGACTAGTCGACTTTGCGGAACTGTTTGTCTTCTCCAGCGGAATTCTCTCGGGCGAAAATGAGATCTGTTCGACATATTATGGGGTCCGAAATGTTGACGACGAGCGTAGTTGCTGGGTTCAATTCCAGAATCTACAGGCTGCATTCCTCATGGTGATATGTCAGTACTGGTCAGGAAGCCGTACGTCACGGAACCGAGCAATGGAGAATCGGTTTAGCGAAGTCATTAAGGTAGGGTTGGTGCAAATCAGCGGTTTGGTTCGTCTGGGCTTACTAGGGACAGGTTGCGCGCAGAATGGGTCTACCCACGTTTCAGCATGGACCTGAGGAGCGTCTCCATGAGTATTTATGGATTCAGAGGGAGTGTCGTATACGGTGCGCCAAGCTACCATCCTTTGAACTCACGATGTCACTAACCACTTGACAGCACCATCAACTTAATCTCACTGCTGGACTGCGCATTCTCGTTCTATTCGAACTATCCATGCCGTTTGTCTCATAACGAAATGGAGTGTGCGTTGCCTTGCGTGGAGTCCGTGTTTGAATCGGCGCATCCATTCCAGGAACCTAACTTCGAACTATCCCGGGATATAACCCTTTCTGAAGCTTTCCAAAAGTTATTCGAAGAAGAAGGCAGCCGGGCCTCATCACCCTCTACGTCCGGCTCTACCGTTGCAGAAACCCTCGCCAAACTCACTATCTTGGACACATTCATGTTGATTCACTGTAAGTAGATACTCTCCTGTATGCCACCACTATCTGACGGGAAACAGTGCTTTACGCTTTCATAAACACGCACATGACACTTCTCGCTACAATATTGCCGAAATCGCGGATCCCGCATTCCCAGCAGATACCCAACTCACGGGGCTCTAGTATTAGCTCAGCGATACCAGAGGACACTACACTCGCTTCCATACGCCTAGCACTCTCTCGGTGGCACGAGCACTGGACGAGGCTGCGCAGTGCAACCTCCAGCCATGACTGGGCCTCCATGGGCTTTTACAAGAACGGCTACCATTTCTGGCTTGTGTCGCAGCTTCTGATCACCAAGAAAGAGAGTGTGGACGTGGTGATGCGCATGGAAGTGAAGTGTGAGGACAAGCTGGAGCAACTTAAAGTTCTCCTGAAGGACGACAACGAATGACGCTTGATGAATGAGTCCCACGCCGACGACTCATTCAATTCTTTTTTACTTTTTCTCCTTTGTTCTTTCTTGGACAAGCGTTCGCTGTATACACGACGGAATGGGTGCATGATTGTACGATACACTAGAGCATTCAGGCGTTACGAGTACATATACCTAGGTTTAGAGGGACATTTTAAATATCACAGCATAGAGTCAAGGGGAGGATATACAATTCCAAAATCATTGCACAGACTTTGTTCCTCTCAGTCTCCAACACTCACATATCCAACTAGCTGGACGAAGCACACTCAACATCCAAGAACTCCTCATCAACCTACACAGTATTAGCACTGCAATTCTTATCAATTACAATATGCGCCACTCACATTGGTACAAATGAAATCACTGTTCCCCTTAGGGCTCTTAACATCGATATTCGTCGCATGAATACCGGAGCAAACCTAAACCGTTAGCATCCCATGTACGCTCCTCAAAGCAGCAGCAGAACTCACATCAGGACTCGAACAAATAATTGTCCCCACATTCGGATCATTCTTTTCAGAAGTGACACCTGTGAGATCATTGAAGTAAATATCGCTAATCGTAAGGTTGCTCTGTTCCAAACCAAGTCAGCCAAAACCCACCCCTTCCATATGATATCCCAAACAACAGCTCTCCCCTATGAGTACACGAATAGAGAAAAAAAGAGAGTCATACCGGGTTCTCATTACACAACGTCTGATTCTTCTGTCCATAACACTGAGTAACCTCAATGGCCCAGTCCACGTTCTCGATGTACATCTTGTCGTAGGTGATGTTCTGGACGCTGCCGAGGCCACCTCCACCCTGGAGATCTTCGGACATTGCGGCAGAAGCGCCAGGCCAGACCTTGATACGGGCCATGTCCTTTTTTTTTTTTGTTTTACTCTTATTAGTAAATTGAACTCACTTTGCTAGGATTGAAGGGATGGCGGGACATACAGAGGCATTGTACATGGAGATGTTGTAGACGAGGACGTTCTGCACGATGTCGACTTCGCCTGGGTATTGGCCCAGTGAGCCCACGGAGATACCGTGGGAACCGTTGCAATGGAGGTTCTGGACGAGGATCTCGGTACTGTTTGGTTTGAATGAGACGCAGTCTTTTTTGTTCTTATTAGTATATTCTCTTTCTTTATGGTGTGGGGGGGGGGACTCATCATGGGACGAATTGAAGGGGGAATTATACCATCACCGTTGTTAATGACCGAGTTCTGGATAACGATGTTACTCGATCGATACGTATCCCTATCCATCGTCAGCACATCTATCAACCCCAATAGAGATAACTAAAAAATAAAACTTACCATCCATCCGTATTCTTCGCCTCATGCTCACTGCTACTATACCCCCAAACATCAATGCCATCGAACAGCACATCCGAACTATTCGCAACAAGCTGATACCACTGCGGTGAATACCGTAGCTTCAGCGGGCCGATCGTGCCCCCGTGCAGCCCGATAATGCCGACGAGAATGGGTCGCAGGATGAGCGCATCCTCGGCGTACAAGTCGTACCAGACCTGGCCGTTACCGTTGAGTTCACCGCCGCCGTAGACGTTTACGTCTGTGCCACCGAGGTTGAAGAAGGTGGTTGCGTTCTGGAAGGTGTGTTTGAAGGAGTTCTCTTGCCAGTAGTCTGTGTCTGGGGTGAAGGTGATTTTGCCGAGGATTTCTGGGTCGTTATGGTTAGTATTTTTTTTTTTTTCTGTTGGTTTGGTTTGGCTTTTATGTAGAAATATTAAGGGGGTGAAGTGGTGAATATTTATACTATACATACCCAGATCCACGTGCTTAAGGAAGGTCATGTCCAAGGCTGTGCCAATCGTGTACTCCTTGTCTTCGGCGAAAACGACCTTGCCACCATTGTTGCATTGTTTCAGTGCAGCGAGGATGTATGGTGCATCGTCCGTTCCGTCGTCGTTGCTTTGGACATGGCAGGTCTTGTTCCGGGGTGAACTGGCCGGAAGAGGTCGGAATGGTGGTTTGGGTCCGACAGCGTTAGTTCTAGACAGGGAGAAGCCTTCTACCGGTAGGCTTAGGCCTAGGGAGAGGAGGAGGGTCGTTGCTTGGGTGAGCTTCATGGTTCTTGCGTCTTGTTATGGTTTAGGGGGTCAATCAATGGCTGGGTTTAAATTCGTGGTGACCCTGTCTAGTATGGAGGCGCAATGGGGATAGGGGTGTTTTGCCACGGGCCTACGGTATAGACGGAGATATAGGGAAATATATAGGTTTTTCTTTCTGGTAAACAGCCTGATATACTCTAGTACGCATGTGTCAAAAGAGTCCGGACACTAGGATAAAACCATTCATTTACTTCCCGCCAATCTTCTCTCCAGCGGATGAATATAAAGTGGGGAGGAGGCTAGGCAATAATATAGGTGGTCGAAGCTTTGCGGTATTCATCATAAGACAAGATGTATCGGAGAAATGAAGGCTGGAATTAACGGATGTTGTATAGGGTTGGGGTTCGCCGCCTCTGATAGGAGGGATAATACGGCCGGGATTAATCCGATTGGGAGGAGAAATTGGTCGATCGTTCCTCCGTCTTGCGTCCCCGGATTCATGGCTGGACTTGTTTATGGGGAAGATATTCACAGTTACTCGGCTAGGGTTGGTTGAACGCGTTGCGGTTCATGTGGAGTGTCCGGGGTCGCTTCGATGTTGGGGTTGGCATGACCTAATCTCACATCTATAGGGCGTATACGAGTGGATACTATTCATTTACTGTGTAGGGATTCGGGACTCGGTACCTTTCCCTTCAGCGTATTGTTCACGATATACGTAGTATGTATCTTGGGGGGGGGGAAAGAAGAACAGAGTTATGATCGTCCAACTCTACGACCTGGCACGCAGCGAAAGAATCACATGACCTTTTATTACACTACTAACTCAACTTCCCTCCTTGATCCTATTTCAGCAGAGACTGATTTTCTGAACCACAAGTTTTATATATTTCCCTGCATATATTGCTCCTGTCATCAAGGGGACGAGGGAAACGAATGGGAGGAGGAGCCAGGTTTAGAGAAGGAGGAGGATGAGGAGTGAGCTCGACTGCCTGGATTGGCCATTTCAGCATGTTAATTAGTACTGGTTTTCATCACCGTATTACCATACTACTAGGCGCTCTGCTGCATACTCATTTTTACCTATCACCTTGATATAGGTTTTCCCCCTGCGTATAGCAGGTTTCCCTATGTTATATTTCAAACCCAGAGGCGTTAACAATTATTATTTTTATTTGCTCTACTCCTTTGAGTGCTTTTAATCTTTCTACTACTTCTTTAAGTGTTTCTAATCTCTCTAATCATATAACTGTTGATACAAGCTGCTTAATCAAGCTATTAGAGTAAAGAAGTAATATAGGGAAAGCGAATTAAACTATATGTTATTAAATATTATATAATAAAAATGTAAGTTATTGATTATTTAATTAGAATACTCTATATATTTATACGTGAGTTAGTTCTGCTGGTTGGCTATTAGCTGTTGGTGATCTGAGAAGAGTCCTAGAAGGGGCCGTATTTAGGTATAATATATATATATATATATATATATATCTCTCTCTCTATACATATAAAGGGCTAGTCGCCTTCGTATTCTGTAAACCGGCGGCATGAATGACAATTGTTCGCCGTCTTGATTGTTACCATGTTATCGTTCGGCATTCGATTACATTCACCAGTCTCTTGTTAGCCGGCATAAGTGAAGAAACTTTTTAGATAAATTCGGTTTATCTAACGTCTTCGGTGGGAAACCAGTGCTGTCCTGATTTAATATATACAAACGAGAACGCCAGTCATGTTGCGTTGAACCAGTAGAACCCCCGAAATATTGTCTATCGAGTGCCAGATGCCCAAATTCACCCAGAAGCTCATCAATCGACGGTCTATTTTCCCGATGAACAATTTCCTTTCTAGACCCTCGTCGGGCCCCCTTGCGTGGTAGAGTCCCATCTAGCGGAACCAGTTGAACCGATTTATGCGGACTTCTCAACAGCAGCCTCGGTCTTAGCGACAACCTCCTTCGCCGAGTCAACCACTTCGTGTTCCATCGACTTGACGGCTTCGACGGGAGATCCTTCCAGGCTACGGCGGTAGTTGTAGATACGACCGACCTGAACGACACCAACACATCCGAGGAAAAAGTTGACAGCGGCAAGCCTGGGCAAGTCAGTACTGTTTATTTTATAGACCTGCGCTCTCTGAGATCAACATACAGGTAGTTCTTCGGGGTGATGATCATACACCAGCGGGTCCAGATGGCTCCGGTAGCCGTCAGGGCACCGTTCTGAGTCAAGGACAGCTTCTCGGCGGGACGACCAAGATCGGAGATACCGGCGATGACCAGAGACCACTAAGCAAAGTTAGCGATATCCATAGATATGTGGTTCGAAAAACTGCAGCCGTCGACGCGGTTTATATTGTTCCTCATTAGGGTGCGTAACGGCGTCCGGCAAGGGAGGGTGGGAATTATACCTTCATGACAGGGGCCCTAGAGCAACAAGTGTTAGAACAGTATACCAAAACAAAGAGTTTATACAACTGCCCAGAAAATTAAACAACATACCAGAAATGCACCGTCTTAACACCAACGGGGCTGTTCCACAAACGCTGGAAAGTGCTCTGTTGCTCGGCGGCGGCAGCATCGGAGCTCTGGAAGCGGCGTCCGGCGCCAAAGCGACGTTGCGCATTGCGGAACGCAGCGCG